AGCTGCTGCTCCCCGCCCCCTTTTCCAGAATAGAGCTGCTTACAGCTCGGACCTGCTAAAAACATCTGTTTTGGTTCTGATTATCATGTTTATCGCTCTGAAATCATGCGTTTAGAATTAAAAATTCTGATAAAAGGTTTTCTGAGTGCACACATCCGAAGCACACGCACAGAAAGCGGCTGTCACAGCATGTGAGGACTAAACTAAGCTCTCTTTCACACACAAGTTTACGTTAAAAACACACGAGTTACAAAAAAACACTGGGTTATGTCTGTGAAGGTAAGCAGCTGGGAAATAAATCACATGTTTATGTTAGATCTGTGTGGCAGCAGCAATATACAGTAAATAAATGCACTGCTCTCTCGTCTCTGAGGCTGGGACTCTAAACAGTGTTCTGTGCTCGTCTGTGCAGCCAAACACAGAACAGTTAGCATGTTCTGCTCAAACTTTCTCCATGGCATTAGAAGTAGTACACCGTTGTCACTTGAGAAAACACAATGACTGCGCTGTGGATGGAAACTTACAGATTAAGGGGCGGTAATATTATAATGAGATCCCTTTGTGACGTCACCAAGCGAGCGAAATCATACGCGCTGGTTTTCTCAGACGCTTGCAGAAAAAGGCTTCCCAAAACAAAGTTACTGGGTTCATCTTTTTCACGTTTCCTTGGTTGGTAGATGCACCGTGGACCTGATTATAGAACTTAACACCTGGAAAAGTCAGATTTTCATGATATGTCACCTTTAAATCATACAGTTATCGTGATAAAACGGCTCATACGGTGATATAATATTCTGGTCCTTCCACCCACCCCGAGATCAAACTATACTTCTGAACAGATCTGACTCATGGTCCCAACTGTACAACACGCACAAAAGAGAATAAACTCAACCTGTGGAGAAAACCACGTTCTTGGAGATGAGTTTGTAGTCCACGATGGAGAACTGAGGCAGCTCGATCCTCTCCACCCCCGTGACGGCTCCGTCTCCCCCTCGCCAGTAAAACTCGATATCATCTGTGGTGTAGCCATCTGGAGGATCCAAACACACGTGCGTTACAACAAACTCACATCTGAGTGCATCTCCATGCATATGAGGACAACAGAGGAGCAGCCGCAGAAAATCAGCTCTGCATTAAAACTAGCTTTGTGTTTTACTTCCTTCTGCAACTAAGCTTTAAAGGGCTTTAAACAACGAGAGAACAAAACAGGGCCTGAAAGGGTTTAAAAAATGATCACTTTTTTGGTCTGTGAAAATAAGTGGTGATCATCATCCTCAGGAGGTCCATTTACAGTTTGTATATTATTAAATATTATAATAAATTAGTTTTCTATTAATTTAATGTGAGGTTAGATTTGTTTTCAACCCTGTAACCAATATGTGGGACATGTCTAAATACAGTTTAAAACATTTTAGAAATAAATAGGTAAAACTTATACCATTAAACATGAACAAAACAAACTAAAAATGACACAAACATGGGTAACAGGGTTGTAAATATCACTCAGTTGACATCTCTAAATTACATCACTCAATAGGTGGGACCAAAAGTTTTTGTTGTATTTCCCAAAAATGAATGATAAATATTTATTTCATGTTTGTTTTTTTCTCGCTACAGTATTTTAGGTAACAGGTTTGAAGGTTGCGATGGACAAATGCAATCAACAAAAAAATGGAATAAGGTTGTTTATGTGTAAAAAACATAAATAAATAAAAATGATGTTAATTTGATCATGCAGCAGTGTTATTTTAGTATCATTTAGATACTACTATAGTTTTTATTAATATTTTTTATCTGTTTTTATTTTTAGATTTTTTTTTTTTTAAATGTATTAGTAATTTTGTTTGTAAATTTTTAGTTGTTATATATAGTAGTTAAAATAAATAAACTAATTATATATGTTATATATACACACATATATTCTGGCATTGGTGGGAACATAACAGCAGACAACAGACATTTAATTGTTTGATCAAAATTATTGCTAGAGGACAATTTAGTATTTGCTGGATATTGGTTGGGACATGTGCTGTCAAATCGATTAATCACGTCCAAAATAAAAGTTTGTGTTTACATAATATGTGTGTGTGTACTGTGCATATTTGTATGATCATATATGAATACACACGCATACATGTATATATTTAATAAATATTTTTTATTGAATTTTTTATAAACACAAAATGTTTATTTTGGATGTGATTAATCGATTTGACAGCACTGTGTCAAAGCATCTCTACTAAACTCTATACCCTTGGAGTAACATTAGTTCATTTAAAATGCGTTTTTCCACAATTAGTGAAAAATTAATTTAGTATATTGTCAAAACTATGATGTTGTGTGAACATTTTAATTCAAGAAGTTCAGCCTCTGAGGTGGGACAGACTAAAATCAGCATTTTAATTAAAGGGGGAACAGACTCTTGAAACCAGCTCTGTTTCATGTTAGGTTATATTTCTAGATATAACAGTTTATCTAACATATCCAACAAAAAGCGTGGGATTCGTGTTTTTAATACTTTACATAAACCAACAGGATCCCAAAGTGCACATATTCATGGAAAGTGCAGTGTAAATATTGACGGTGACATTTAGATTTCAAAACAACTGATCATTAAATTATGTTTATGAAACAGACGCACATCCACAAATCCGTGAAGGAATCTGTGTGTTTGCTAGTTCTCCGTCCTCGCTGAGGTTCCTTCTCCATCTGCACCAGTTTGTCTGCGTGCAACTTATAATGAGAACCAGTGACCTATTTAGTGTATTGAATAATTAACGGTGAGCTTCTGATTTCTTCATATTCAAGGGAGTTATCTCTGCATGACTTGGCAACCAGGTACAGACTTAAAAAGGCCAGCAAAGCTGTAGGCCTCATAAAGCATTAATACAAAGATAACAAATACGGCTTTCTCATTCGGTATAATGGGCCAGAGAGCAGCGTGAGGTAAATACGACAAGAGCTTGAGTCATGTGACAATCATAAGATGTGTCTTCCTAGCGTGGGAGCGTTTGGAGACCATCACAGGTTGTGTCGTGTTCACCCCGCTGTCTGAAAAGGCTTTTAAACGGAGAGCAGACGAAAGCGAGAAAGCACAAGAGAGAGAGAGCCGAGGACTCTAGAGAAAACTACTGTTGGACTGGTGTTTCACTTCCATTAAATCTATTATCTCTGTGCCACCGCGTCTGATTCTGTCAATTGAATGGCTGATTACTGTCAACAGATCACATTTACTTCTACAGCTCCATTATTCTCTCGGGGCCCTGAGAGAAACCAGAGGAAAAGGCATCCACATCAGAGGTGAGCGACTCGAGCCGAGAGCTGCCGCTATTAAAAATGCATCAAGACTCAAGTTGATCAGGAAAAAGGAGGCTAAAGCTTGTGTCTCATTAGCCCGCGTGAAAACACTTCCGTTCACTTCTGCACTGACATAACGATTGTGTGCAGACACGGGAAAAGAAACGTGAGTGTGGGAGAGAAAACGACAGAAAGCAGGGTTGCCAGGTGAACGCCACTGGAATTCGATTTGAATTTTTAAAAAAAATGCATTCCATTTTTCATCAGCAACATATGAGACACTTTTAGAAACATTTGCTGGTATTAATAATGATCAATATTTGAAATTCTACCTAAAGAAATTTGAATTAAATGTATATAAATTCTGTATTTATTTTTTATATATGCGTATTATATAATTTATTTAATAATTGTAATTAATTGTCATAGTGGAAGAATGCTCTTCTGCTTATTTTATATATATTATATTCTCTCTCTATATATATATATATATGTGTGTGTGTGTGTGTGTGTCAAGCGGCAACCTCCCGCTCTCTCTCGTGAAGCCAACACGGAAGTGACTTAAAGTGTAATTCATCGACTGGCCGCTAGAGGCTGGCTCCAAAAGGGAGTCAATCCCATAGACACCTCATGTTAAAATGCCCAACTTTACAGCAGAAAAAAAAATTATTTTGGTCTATATAGCTAATTTTGCCCTTCGTGACGACTGTGAGGGGGGTGAATTTTTTTATAACTCATCCGTTTAAATTATATTAAGCCTTAAAGTTCTGCATAATTAAGGGGGCGTGGCCACTTGAGTGACAGGTGGATTGCCGCTGCTGTCACCACCGTCGAGCTAGGTGGGCGTGGCTTCAGCAACCTGCTCCCGCCTCTTTGCCCATTTTCGATTATCCGGGAGTGACGAGCGGCTGCCAAGATGGCGACGGCCGGCTCCGCCCACTTTTGAGCTTCAAAAACGCTCTTCGGAAATCTACGTGTGACGTCACGGACACTACGTCCATGTTTTTATACAGTCTATGGTGTGTGTGTGTGTGTTTGTGTGTATAAAATAAATTGATACATTTATCAATTAATGAATTAACAATTAACAAATAACATTTTTATACAATTATCTAGCAATGATAGCCATTTTGTGATGCTTTATGGGAAAATTTACATCTTTTTTGATGGCAGTATTGTTTTTACTATGTAAACGTTAGGTGTGATGTCTAAAAATACTGTACATACTGTATGAGGAATAAATATGAATATTTAGTCAAAATTATTGATGTAATAATTTATGTTTTGACTAGTTATTTCAACATAACTTTCAATGCAACATCCTGTGGGGCATGTAGCCCAGTGTTGCCAAGTCCACGGTTTTCCCACAGAATTGGGCTGCGTTTATACTGCTGCCGCGGGTTGTATTTATAGAATGCGAATGCGATTTTGGAGTGATTTTTGCCAATTTCCACCTGAATGTGATTGGGCTGTTTTTGTTATGCAGACCTGGCAACCCTGAAGTTGCCCATTCAATTTAAATGTATACTTATGAAATAAAAGATTCTTAAATTCTGAATTTTGCAACACCTTTAAAGAGAACAGTGTTATTTTAATATCACTGAGATACTATTCGTTTTTATTAATATTTTGAATGTTTTTATTTTTACATTTTTTGCTTTCATTTCATTTCATAGTTTTAGTAATTTTGTTGTGCTTTTTGTCATTTGTTATTAGTTGTTATTTATTATTTATTCATTCGTTTTATTTATATATTTTAATCATTTTTATTTCAGTCATTTTTTTTTAAATGTTTTTAGTTTTAGTTAACTATAATAACCCTGAGAGGGAATGAGTGAAAGGAGAGGGGAAAGAGCCAGAAATGGAGGGCTGGAGCGAGAGAACGAGGGAGCAAGAGAAAACAGCGCAGTGTATTGGTAGCTGAAGGAAGTCAGGCCTGACCCTCAGTGTTTCTGTGCTGCTTAACGCTTCTGGCAACTTAATGATGAAACGAGAAGCCTGCGCCGGAGCATCACATCACAGCGCTGTAATCCAGCACTCCAGGGACAGAGATAAACACTGAGAAGACCTCGCATTCTTCTCCTGTGTCTTTCAGTTTTATTACAAGAAAAATTGCGTTACACACAATTACAGGCAATAATGACAAAATAGAAAGCCCATTGATCTTGATAAAGAGGGAGATGATTAGCTGTTGTTATGGCTGTAAATGCATCATTTAGCACTGCTGTCACGGCACAGCTGAAAAGCAGATCATCAGACGGGTCGGGGTAACAGATAACGCATAATCGCTTGAGCCTATGTTTTTACCGTACTTTTCTATTTAATCGGTTCTGTAATATTGGGTTTAGAGATCAATGCCAGCATTTGGAGGGTTTCTGCAGAACAGACCCCAAAAACACCATTAAAGGACTGTGTGTTCAACAAGAAACAAGACTGTTCAGGGAGAGTGACTTTCTTAATGCATTGCTTATGAAAATGATTCAACTGGTTACTGAACAGCCGTTCACTCTCAAATGTGAAATGCACAGCATTTCAAGCTTAATGTTACATAGTTACAGTCTAACATCAGAATCAGAATCAGAAAGAGCTTTATTGCCAAGTATGTTTGCACATACAAGGAATTTGTTATAATTTATTACAAGCTTCCAGTACACGGAGACAACAACAACACACAGATAATAAAAATGAGATGTGAATAAAATACACATGCATAAATATAAACCACAAAAAAATAATAAATTGTATGTACAGGTGTGGTATAGATGGAATAGGAATAGAATAAAAACTGGCTTAGTTTGGTCTGGAGGAGTGTTTAGTAAACTGCAGGGGGTCTAGTAAGGGTCCAGTAATGTCCTTCAGATAAGCCAACACCAACCTCTCAAATGTCTTCATGACCACAGACGTTAGGGCCACAGGTCTGTAGTCATTAAGTCCTGTTATCTTGGGTTTCTTTGGGATGGGGATGATGGTGGAGCGTTTGAAGCAGGCAGGGACTTTGCACAGCTCCAGTGATCTGTTGAAGATCTGTGAGAAGATGGGGGCCAGTTGGTCAGCGCAGGTTTTCAGACAGGCTGGTGTCACACCGTCTGGGCCTGGTGCTTTTCTTCTCTTGTTCTTCCTGAAGACCTGGCGCACATCATCCTCACTGATCTGAAACGTAGGAGTGGGGGAGAGGGGGGTTGCAGGAGGTGTTGATGGTTGTGTGGAGACCCTGGTAAAACTGATCATGTTTTGAGAAACAAAAAACAGGAAAAACGAACAAAAACAGTACAAACACTGGAGAGCCAAACACTGAGGCTGCCGTCTGCGGCGCCATCGCATGTATTAATAACATAAACATGAAATTACATTTGCCACCATATTATTATTATTATTATTAATGCTATTTTCTTTATGGCATAAATTAAAAAAATAAAAACAACAAATGCCATTATAATATACATTATTATCATTATTATTATTACATATTTTATTGTTTTTAATAATATTTTTCTATATTATTTTATGTTTTGATAAAACAAACTAAAATAAAAACCCTTCTGCATATTGGTCATAGTAAATAATTATTATTATTATTATTATTATTATTATTACTATTTTATATATGGCATAAATAAATATATTTAAAAAACAACAACAAAATAATTATAATATAATATAAATTATTATTATTATTATTATTACATATTTTATTGTTTTCAATATTTTTATAAAATGTTAAATAAAATATTTAATAAATTTTAATAAAACAAAATAAAGTAAAATAAAAATTATTCTGCATACTGGCTATCAGTAAATAATAATAATAATTGTAATATTATAATTATAATAATTATTGTTGTTGTTATTATTACATATTTCATAATAATATACTACATATAAATTACTATTATCATTACTATTTACTACTATTAATAGTAATTATACTAATTAATATTATCATAACATATTATTACATATTTTATTGTTTTTAATAATAATAATAAATGTAATTATTTTTCATTATGTTTTTTTTTTTTTTTTAATAAAATAAATAATTCTGCCTATTGGTTATCATAAAAATAAGTACTAGAAATATCTGTCCAAAAACAATATCAGTTGACCTCTAGTGAGGGTGATCATGAAAAGCAGATGCATAGATCTGGTGCTGTGGGTGAAGAAGGACAGAAGGTGCAGCACTCACAGCTCTCGATCTCCAGCGTGCAGTTCTGCTCGTCCAGCGGGTATCGCCGCAGGTCCATCATACAGGCCGCGGTGGTGGTGATCCTGAATACAGAGCAGAGACAGGGGACTGTGGGGATTACTGACGCTTCTCAAGGACAAGAGCAGCCCTCCTCCCTCATCTACACATCCACACTGCTGACTCACCCACAAACAGGCTGCAGATTGATCTTTAAACTACGTTCCTGTTGCTCAAACACTGGAGAACAGCATCAGCAACACCAAGCCAGGGGTCTGAATCCCAGGCAATGCATGAACTGATAAACTGTGTACCTTCAATGCAATGCATGTTGCTTTTGATAAAAGTGTCAGCCAAATGTAAGTAAATGGTATAATGAGCAAGTATCAATCTTGAGTGGACAACCAAAGTCCTCGTTACCTGAAGAAACACACTCCTCTGAGTCTGACCCAGCTGCAGCAGCAAAGCCATTCTCTATAGAAACTAGAAACTACAATTTAATAGATGCCTCTGAACTTCATGTGGGTTGTTAAAACTTCATCTGAAGAACTGCTTATCTTTAATAATTTAGCGCATAACTCAATTCGAAATCCTTTCACTTGAATTCTCCAACAAATGTGAGTGCAACTTCACCTCTTTTTCCCTTTTTCCATAAGTCTCTTATGCTCACCAAGGCTGTTTATTTCAATTTCAATCAAATGTTAAAAAATACAGTAATATTGTGAAATATTATTATAATTTAAAACAGCTGTTTTCTGTGTGAATCTCTGTTAAACTGTAATGTATGTCTGTGATGCGCAGCTGTATTTTCAGCATCATTCCTCCAGTCTTCAGTGTCACATGATCTTCAGAAATCATTCTAATATGCTGATTTGCTGCTCAAGAAACATTTCTGATTATTATAAATATTATAAATGGTGCTGCCCAATATTTTTGTGGAAACTGCGATACATTTCATTGTATTTATAATGTATTTACATATAAATATCATGAATTATAAATAACTTCAATATTATGAAACATTATAAATATAAATAATTCTGCTTTTAATTTTAATAAATCATTTCATATTTCTACTCAGCTTTTTGAATTACCATCAGTCAGTTTCCATCATGATTAATTTAATTAATTTATATATATATATATATATATATATATATAAAAAGTAGAACTTGTGACTGCAGGTTGTGAGTTTAGTACAACTTTGATTTGATTTAAAGCAGCATTTATCACATTTTTGCAGTTTTTATCATGTAGGTTATGGTTAATTATGGTTTGTCAGCATAGCGAGAACAAGCCTCATCTCTTTCTTTGTTCACCAAGACAACATTTGGGGTCAGTAAGATTGTTTTCTGTGAAAGAAATTAATACTTTTATTCAGCGAGGATGCATTAAACTGATCAAGCGTGATGTTAAAGACTTTCATAATGTTACAAAAAAAAATCTGTTCCAAATAAATTCCGCTCTTTTTGATTCGATGTAAAGCAGCAATTTTTTTTTTTTTTTTGTGGGTTGCAATTTTTACCGTATAGAGTTCTGATTTGTCAGCAAGCCTCTTTCTCTTTCTTCCCGATCATAAATCAGCATGCTAAAAACATCAATACTCCAGAGGTTCCTGCTGCATCGTCCCACAATCACAACTCCACAGGAAGCACTGGAAGAACTGGGAGCTCTGGGAAATCAGGAAATTAGGCCAAGATGGCAGAGGTAAAAATAACAGGCTATTTATAGGTCGTCAGCAAAAGTCTCAGTGCGTTTCTGTGTCTAAGAGATGGATGGATGAGAGAGTCACTGGTTCCTCCAGCTGATGAGGTCTGGTGTTTCTGGAAGCGTGCTGCTGGAAAGCTGTGAGAAGTATTCGAGGTGGAGTTGATTAGCCTCTTTCTCTCGATTTCTCGATTCCTCCATCATTCCTTACCATTGTTAACCCTTTCATCTCTGAAACCCCTTTCATCTTCTCCTTATCTTCCCATCGTCCATCGTTCTTTCACTACATACAACATGTCTCTTTTTCTCTCTGTTGGCATGGGGTCCATTCATGACACTGACTTTCATTAATCCTCAACAAGCTTGAATGATGCCATTTATTCAGCACACGCTCGGTTCAGTTTTCCATCCGTCTAAGAACAACTGATTAGACACTACTGTTCAAAAGTCTGGGGTCATTTTTTAAAATAAATTATTAATGTTTTTATTCATCTAGGATGCATTAAGCATAAAGTGACAGTGATGGCATTTATAATGTTACAAATAAATGCTGTTCTTTTGAACTTTCTATTCATCTGTGAATCAGAAATGTTTCTTGCCCAGCAAATCAGCATATTAGAATGATTTCTGAAGATCAAGTGACACTGAAGACTGAAATTCAGCTTTGATCACAGGAATAAATTACATTCGACATTATATTCACAGAGATTAAATTATAATAATATTTCACTGTTTTTACTGTAGTTTTGATCAAATAAATGCAGCCTTGGTGAGCAGAAGAGACTTATATTCAGTTTGAAGAAAATATATAATAATGTATCATTTCTGTTTAAAGTTTTGATGCTTTTGAACTAAAACTGGTAATAATGAACACTATTTCAACAATAATTTTGTCTAGTTGATGACTTGCTTTGTACAATTGTATTATGGGTGCCACTTAAGACTTTTCCTTTAAACATGCATTATTCCTGAGAGAAAAAAGAATTAGTACGATATAAAGGAGAAAACAAAGGAACAAATCCATATTAAAGCAACCTGGATGTGTGTTTTTTTCATCGGAGGGGGCTAATATGATTTATTTGTCAGGTGTTATTATTACCCCCAACCACTCCAACACTGATTTCCATTAAATCTGATATAATGATCTAGTCTTTCTCATCATAAGTCTATTTATTACCAAATGCACATGTTCATTTTACTAAAAGAAGGTAGATATATTTGTAGCAGTCTGTGAGTTAGGAAGAAAAACGTAAACAGATTGTGCCCCCAGTCTCTCTTACTCATCTCCCCGTCTCACTGTGACCTGCCGCTTACTGCTTGATTTGTATCCGCTTGAAGAGGGCTTGGCTCAATATATTAAGAGTAGAAGGAAGCTAGGCCTGACCCTCAACGGTTTAGTGCCGCTTAACGCCTCTGGCAGCTTGTATCCGCTTGAAAAGGTTCTGAGGAATAAAAGTCAGAGCTGTTTACTCTACAGTGCCGTTAGACTGCTACTTCCCTGCATTGAAACCCACCAACGCCAAGGTCTTCTCATCCACATGCATTCAAGAGCGCTCTCTTTACCAGCACACTAGACTTCATCTATCCATCTATCACCGGCGGGCCGCAGCGCTACGGGTTCCCCACGCACCGCACAGGTTCATGTAAGGGTTGGGTACAGACCCCAAGGCAGCATGTGTACCTTTATTCCAAACGACCTTGTTTACTAAGGCTTGTGCTGCAACACACCACGCAGGGGTCTGACTAAATTACATTATGATGGTGGGGAGAGGACGAGCTGAAAACACGGCAGCCAAAACGGTAGTCCTGAATTGCATCAAGGATTTTGCAAACTAAACTACTGGAATGTGATTTTTTCTAAGCCTCTGGTGCTGTTCATTCATTCTTGACAGAAAAATTTGACTTCAATAATAATCTTCAGCCAAATGTCTTCTTTAAAAAGAGATCTTAAGTTAAGTTAAGCATTTGTTGCTTTGTCGTAAATCAGCTAGCTTTACTATAGTTTAAGTTGGAAATTTCATTTTCAGGTCTATGCTGAAAAAGTGGTTAACAGGTAACAAAATGGGTCAGAACTATTCAATATTCAATAAATATAATTTAGTACCATAAAATGTTATATAAAAATATTAAATAATAAAATATTACATAAAAATATTAAATAAAAACAACATCAAACTAAAATATAGTACATTTGATTTAAAATCTGTAATTTTTGACAACAACATGAACAACACCAGAGGTTTAAAAAGTATAGCGATTGTTTCGATGGTGAAAAATGGAAGCTATATGGTTGAAGGGAAGGGGCTAAAAAACAAAACAAAACAAAAACACTTGATGATGTCAACAGACATGGAATGTCATTTGAGTGCGCATACACATATAATGTGCACACACAGACTAGGAATGTGCACTAGAAAGTGTTTCTGCATAGCATTAAAGATACCAGGGTCATTGGGTTTGATTCCCAGGAAATGCATGAACTGATCAAATGTGTACTTTGAATGCAATATAACTCGCTAAGCACACACTATGAGGTGTTCAGCAAGGCTATGTACTAGGCCCAATTAAGAAGCGTTACAGTGCAGTTAGGGCCACTTCTGTCTAAATGCAGCTGACTAATTTAGGACATAATAGACTTAAGCAAATCCAAATTACTACACATAGTGACTGAGAGAAGAAGAGGTCTTCTGTTTACCTTCTCATTTACAGTGGATGAGCCACACAATAAAATGGAGACATTATCATTCATTCTCACTTACAGAAAAGGTTGCCTATTATATGGAGGTGAATTGCATTGGCTGGTGTTATTTTTCTTGAAGATGTCTAAGGGCAGAATAGGACAGCTTCTATTTATAGCAGGCATTATTTTATTTTGTGTAATCACGCATAACTGTGCTATCTTTCTGTGTAAAGGTAGGTGAATATATCAGCAGCAACAGGAAACCTCAGATAGGAGAGGCATCACTGCAAGGAAAATTGCTGAACTGGTAGCAGAATTCAATACCATGTCCTTCTCTCACACTTTTATGTCTGATTCTGTCAATAGCGGCCTAGCAGGATCACAAAAGAAATCTATATTAAAGTAATATAAAAGTAAATGCTCTGATCTTTATGTGACACGTCCTTGTTCTGCCTCCCTAAGAGAATGTTTTTTTTTATATTATTATTTTTTTGCAAAAATTCTGTACATTTATGTTTAAAAACAAATATTTGGTGGTTAAATTCAATACGAACTCTTAATTTTTTTGCATTTGACACATGCTTTTATCCAAGGCAACTTATATTGCATTCAAAACACATATTTTTTCAGTTCATGCATTTCCTGGGAATCAAACCCATGACCTTGGTATTTTTAATCCTATGCTTTACACTTTCTTAATTCACATTCCTAGTCTGTATATGCACATTGATTTAATTTACTTTTTTTTTTTGAGAGGCATCACTGCAAGGAAAATTGCTGAACTGGTAGCAGAATTCAATACCATGTCCTTCTCTCACACTTTTATGTCTGATTCTGTCAATAGCGGCCTAGCAGGATCACAAAAGAAATCTATATTAAAGTAATATAAAAGTAAATGCTCTGATCTTTATGTGACACGTCCTTGTTCTGCCTCCCTAAGAGAATGTTTTTTTTTATATTATTATTTTTTTGCAAAAATTCTGTACATTTATGTTTAAAAACAAATATTTGGTGGTTAAATTCAATACGAACTCTTAATTTTTTTGCATTTGACACATGCTTTTGTCCAAGGCAACTTATATTGCATTCAAAACACATATTTTTTCAGTTCATGCATTTCCTGGGAATCAAACCCATGACCTTGGTATTTTTAATCCTATGCTTTACACTTTCTTAATTCACATTCCTAGTCTGTATATGCACATTGATTTAAATTACTTTTTTTTTTTTGCATTTGGCACACGTTTATATCAAAAGCAACTTATGCTGTGTACTAAAATGCTGTGAATGGGACACATCACAACACAATAAGCTGATCACTGCTAAAACTATTCTTGAAATGTTGGTTTAAATCAGACAGAAGACATTGTGTTTACATTTAAACAAATGAGTCTATCCGACACTAGTCTCAGCCTAAGATAGCAATGATTTCTTTATACACATTGCACACAAAAGCAGAAGGCACTTTTGATCTGGCAAGTTTGATCTCATTGGCTGAATTTACACAACTTCCAGGAGTGAAGGCATACAGGTTTTTTATCAGTCCATATGGAAACAGAGTAGTGTTTAAAAAAGTAATACCCTTATGAAAATTAACCATGGTTTTACTATAAATAAAACCAAAAAACCATGGTTATTATAGTTAAACCATGACCACAAATGAACCGTAGTTTTGCTACACTAACAGTAGTTTAGCAATGGTATTTGTAATCAAACTGATTATACAAATGGTAATCAATCCGCCAAAAAAAAAAAAAAACATGGTTACTTAACTTTACATTTAATAAAACCATGGTTAATTGGTTAAAAGTTCAGTTTGAAACTAAATGAATATGAAAATATCTATGGCATAATAATTGAAAATATTTTGACATTAGTCCATTAAAACAAGGACGACACAGACTGCTAAGCTGTAACATGATTAACTTGTCGTATTATGACTCAGAAATTGTATTTAAGCCTGTGTATTTTCATCTCCTGGCCAGAGTCCATATTATTGGTTGAAGTCTTTTAGGAGCAAGATAATCAGGTCTACCTGCCTGTGCTAAATTGTCAGACTGGGCTCTCACAGACAGCTATAGAAGAGCGCTGTTATTTTCTTCTTCTCCTGGTAATTGAGGAACATGCTTTGGCAGGCTTAGTGGAGCAGGGCACCCAAGAAACACAGACAACACACCCCAACTCATCACAAACACACACTCCCATACAACATTCACAAACCCAGAAAGCCCATCTTCCAACACGCTTTTGTGTCAAACTGCAACAGAGCACAGATTCGCACTAAATTTCAGATGTCACAAAAGAGAACGCTCTATTACTGCCTCCTCAACACATGCTCACACACACACACACACACACACACACACATGCGGCCGCAGCCGGCTCTGTCTCACATGTGAAGGTCTCCATTGACAAAGTAGCGTGCTGGCAGTCCCGAAAGCCATGTTCTGCAGGCCAGGTCACGGCACTCTCACACATTCCCATCAATGTTTCATCATGTGCATTTAGTATTTCTGCACGCAGTTTGTTATGTAAAAATAGCTTATGTAAGCGGGCACTTACATAATGAAGCGTTATAAATTATATTTATTGATTTTGGTCGCCTTAACAACAGTGAATTATCTGCTGCAATGCAGATATTAAATTTTTAAGCACTCTTCTGATAAGGACACTGCTGTCAGGCTGAGGAACGGCAAGCACAATGCACAGCTTTGGAATTAGCAACAACAATTTCATCCCTTCTAAACATAGACAGCGATGTTGAGTCATTTACACCGGCATAATGCATCAGCAGCCAGGGAAAATAAAAACAGGCCTCTGAACACGTCGTGAACGCGTTATGTGGGTGGTTTGCAAATAGTTTGCACGGACAGAATGATGAGAGGAGTCAAACGTGATTACAGGTCGATAACGACAATGGCGATGACCTCAACGGACGTACCTTAATCCGTAGAGCACGGTGCCGTCGGGATGCAGGCGTATCATTCGGTTCTTGACTGTCACTCCGTGAACGAAGGATTTCTTATCGTTGAGGAAGTAGGTGTCGGGCACCCACAGCTGGTCAGCCACGCGGTTATCCAAGGTTAGATTCAGAGGGATCTCCGTGTACGACAAGCGCTTGTCTCGCCAAGCCTGCTGGAAATACATGGTCAGGGTGTAGTCCTAAAAAAAAAGAGGAGCATTTGGAGAAGATGAGATCGTGAAGACTACTGGGAAATACAACATTCCTCCTATCTCTCTCTGCATTTGGGTTTTCAGTTCATGATCAATTTGAGATATTTAGAGAAATATGGGCATGTGACTTACACTATGAACATGCAGCCATCACTATGATATTTTTATATGTTTACATCAATATTTAATACTAATATGACTGAGGTTAATATTTAAAACTATACTGTGATTAATATTTAAGTATTTAATATTAATATTTAAAACACTGTAAAAATGTTACTTTAAGGAGCTCTTTGCTCCTGGTCGAATCCTTTAGTTTAGTTTTCTTGCCGTGTCTTAATGTATGTACACTACCATTCAAAAGGCTGAGGTCAGTAAGATTATTTATTTTTATTTTTTTTGGTATGTATTGGAAAGAAATCTCTGCTCGCCAAGAATGCATTTATTTGATCACAAATACAGAAAATCAGTAATACTATAAAATGTTATTATTCTATAAAATAATCATTTTCTAGCTTAATATGCTTTAAAGTTCCTTATTTGCTGTTTAAGAAATATTTCTTAGTATAATCAGTTGAAAACAGTCAATAAAACTAACATAATATTAATTTAAAATATAAATATGAATTAATTTAATTTATTGGTATTAATTCATTGATTTAGATGTTACCGCATGAAGCAAATTATGTTTATTTAATCATTTTCAGTCCCAAGACACACGATCAATGTCTCATCAAGCTGCTAATACTGTACCAAGAATATATATTGTCTGCTTGATTAGTTACTACTAGCGGTTGTTGATCATTACTTTCAGATCATAATCCTGTGTAAACACTGCAGGTGGTGTCAGGCTCGCAGATGCACCTTTTCATTTAACCCAGCTGAGTGCTCACTAAACACCGCCTCGCTCACAAATCACTCTGTGTTTCAAGTCATTACAAGTTCGGATGTGAGCACAAGTGATGAGGTCCGAGTGTGTGAGATGTTTACTCTGTAATTAGCCCATCCATTCCCACCCGTCTGACACATTCAGGCCCATATGTTGACGAGCATTGTCCCACTGACAGTCTAATCAGTCAATCACAGTGAAGCATCAGCTGATGTTTTATGCTCATATTTTGTAAAATGCCTCATTATAATTCTGTACCATCCATTATTATTTTCTCATCCGAACTGTTTTTGAGCATGCACTTTTCTCTTGCCTCCTGGGATGAAATGCCCCTGATTTTATCTGGGGTTTGTTTCGGGAGTGCTGTGGATGTGTTTATCAGCGTGGCCAGAGATTGAGGGGCAGTGGGCTGGCTGAACGCTGGCAAGCGGTTTCTAGCCCCATATTTATCTCTCCGTGCTTCTCCAGCGGTGACCTGTGAGGGAACTCTTAAAACCGGCCAAAAATAACCAGCACACTTGATCAACTTACTCTCAGGCATCAAACCTCGCTCAGATTCAAAAGCCAATGGAAGAACCAGCTGCGACTCACACTGTCTTGCATGTGCCACTTCAGCATGAGCAAACACACGCTAAACACATCTGAACACACATATGCACATCACAGTTGTCCATGACATGATCCTGTACACAAATAGAATTTTTTGCACCACATTTCTTTTAGACTAGACTGATAAGAATCCAAATTACTGATAACCAAGATATGACTATAAAAGCCCTAACGAGCATGCAGATGGTCCATCATCAGCCGTCGACTCTCGTAATATCCTCCCATCTCCAGCATTTGTCATTAATGCGTAGAGGAGGTTAAGGATGGTGCTGAGCATCGACGCTGCAGGTTTCCCTCAGGAGAAGCATCAGAGTCTTAAAGGGACAGTTCACCCAAAAATTAAAATGTGCTGTTAATTTACTCGCTCTCATGCCATCCAAGATGTAGATGACTTTTTCTCTTTAGCAGAAAGCGAAGAAGACTTTTAGCTGAATTCATGGTCATTGGTGGTTCATTAAATGTAAGTCAATGGCTACTGTCATTTTGAAAGTAAAAAAAAAACAAACAGCATATCAAGGAGCACAAAATACCAGTGACTCCTGATGATATACTGAGGTCTTATGAAGCGAAACGATCAGTCTGTGCAAGAAACTGAACATTATTTAAAACATTATTACCTGTAATCCAGAGCCTCAGACAAACGGTCCGGAGTGATGTCCGGTTCATGAGCGAATCATTCTTTTGAACTGGTTCTATTTAGTGAACTGGATGCTCGAGCAGCACAGATCTACAAGTTACTCAATCAAAACTCACTTTCAGACGCCTGAGAGTCACTGCGACTGGAAATGAGCAGAAATAGTGCCGTATCTGATCCTGTGATGAATGAATCATTCAGCGCTCCAGTTCCTCCAGCAGACACTGAACTGAGGAAACTGACCGAAGACCGACGAGCCGCTGATATTCACATGCATGAACCAAACACACCAATGAAGGGTCAAATGAAGGTTTTTATGGTTTCTCATAGTTGTCTCACAATTGTCTGCCTTACTTTCTTGTGTGCAACAGAACTGTTTAGTTACCAACTTCTTCCATAGAAGAAAGTAAGTTATGCAGGTTTGGACTGACATGAGGATGAGTAAATAATGCAAGTGCACTCTTAAAAATAAAGGTGCTTCACGATGCCATAGAAGAACCTTTTTGTCTAAATGGTTCCATAAAGAACATTTAACATCTGAAGAACCTTTCTGATTCACAAAAGCTTCTTTGTGGCGAAAGAAGGTTCTTCAGATTATAAAAAGGTAAGAAAGAGATGCTTCTTTGACTGAATGGTTCTTTGTGGAACCAAAAATGGTTCTTCTATGGCATCGCTTGAAGAACCTTTTGAAGCACCTTTATTTTTAAGAGTGTATTTTAATTTTAGTGTGAACTATCTGTTTAATGAAACCCTATTCATCATGTCTGCTTATTGAAACATTCTGGAAACAAATTCCATACCTTGTGCATTTTTGTTGATAAACCTGATCAAATCAAGAAGAATTTAAAAACCTATAGAAACTGTATTTCACTAAAGGGGTATTTCATTCAAAAAAAATAATAATTTTAGTCACCCTCATGTCTCTATCATTTAAGGTGCATTTCAATTAACCGAGAGTGAACTGCAAAGTGGACTTCACAGGGTATATTCCACCATCCTGTGAGATTCCAGTCCAAAGGGAGTGAACGTGTTCAGACCAAACACATTGAGAATAAGGGTGCATCGATACATCACTTCACAGGAAGTGGAGAAGGAAATTCACCCACTGTGTAAATTAGCATCACTCCAGCACTTAAAGACATTTGACTGAAATAAACCAGGTAAAAATGATTAGAGGCTTCAGCATTTTTATTGAGTTTAATTAATCCCAGGTGTGGTTAGTACGTGGCTGTTTGCAGGCATAAAGTGCAATGGATAAATAAGATCAAATGCACATCTAATATAACTAAATCAAGTTTATTTTATTATTAATCAACACAACACTCAATTTAGCACCGTCTAATTTATTTGCATTAAATTCATAACACATGAATGTGTTATATACAGATATATATTAAATGAAAGTATGGTCGTTTATATTACATTTATGAATTTGCAGAAATAACTCATTTTGTCATCTTCGACAGGGAGCAGGAGAAGAGTGAATACTCCGTAGGGACCCTGTCAATTGGAACGCAACTTTGCTTTCCTTTCGAGGGAAACAGAAAGAGACGTTATAAAGAATATTCATGCTGCTCTCAAGCATAAAATGAAAGCAAATAGGAACCAGCAGCTTTCAAGCAAGAAAAAGAACTAAAAAGCACCATAAAAATGATCTATGTGAAAAAAAATGATAGTTTTGTGTGACGTGAAAAATGAAAAAACTAGTCTTCCACCAGAGACCTCAAAACTCAAATTTATATACAGTATGTTATGTACAGTAACATATTAGAAATAACGTGAGTTACATAATCAGATTACTTTTTTTCAACTAGTAAAGTAATGCATTACTTTTAAATTTACAACGGAATATCCGAGTTACTTTTTCAAATAAGTAACACGTTACTTTGTTTTCCCATTTATTCACTCACACTTCTCCTGTCCCCGTGTCGAGAGAAATCTGAGAAAACAGAGGCACTTCCTTTAGCCTGAGGCTTATTAACTTCACTTTTGGTGCCCTTACAGTTGTCAAAAATATAACTTTTGTGTCTTTTGTTATAAGAAAAAATAATAAGCAAGCCCAGCCCAGCTGACAAAAAGTAACGCAAAAGTAGCGTAATGCATTACTTTCCATAAAAAGCAACACAATTAGTTATTTTTTCATGAGTAATGCAATATTATAATGCACTACTTTATAAAGTAACTTTCCCCAACACTGGTCAATAACGCTAAATGTCATTGCTTCTTGTGCATTGCATGGATACAAGAAGTCAGATTTCATGGATAAATTGATGAATGCTCCTCACACAAAGCTATCATTTTATTTCAGAAGACTTGAAATACAGTACGCAAGACGCGTGGACCACTTTAATCATCGTTTGGAAAAAGAGCAACACGAACATTCTGCTAAATATCTGCGTTTGTGTTGCATGTAAGAAAGATCGTGTTTGGGACAGCATGAGGTTGGGTAAACTAACCACAGAATTTTCATTTTTGGATGAGCTAAGCCTCTGATAAAGAATGAGGATTTGCGCTATGCATGAACAAAATGTTTTGATGATATTTATGCCAAATGATATTCCTCCATTCTGAGCTCTTTAAACACAGCGTTCCAGTGAAGAACTACAGTGAAGCAGGACTACATATATAGCATATGCTGATGTATTACGGTTATTAATCACAAAGAGAAAAATGGAAAACACTGACTGTAGATTAACATCTTTGGGAAAAGAGGTTAAATATACATTTTTTCTGAGCGGAGTGTGGATGCCAGGGTACAGAATGTGGAACACCTGGGCTTGGAACTTTCCTCTTGGCTTCAGTGCCAAATGTGAGCATAATTACTATGGTCACAGATGGTAGCAGATGCCTCTTTGG